AAACAAGAGACTAGTGCACTGGATCTCATAGACTTAGCTATACGGGGGGAGACTACAACTATTTGGCTAATAATAGACGTGTTGGTCATATACGTGACCTGTGAAGCACGTCTATTATAATTCAACTAGCTCTAGTATCCATCTTATCTATCCTGTTTTTACCTCTGATATGAAATCTATGACTACCTATGCCATAGTCTATTACGTGTCAAACCGCAAATGTTGTTCTACATTGAACCTAGTCACGATAGATGCGGCGGAGACTAGAGCTAGTTGGCTAACAGTAAACATGCCTGAACATAGACGTGGTCCATAAGACAAAGGTTTAATCATGAGAATTACTCGGGCTCTTTAGCCTCAAATTAGTCTCCTATACAGTTTCAGAATCCTGATTTTTAGGGACCTATTCAGCAAGGCGGGGGTATGCGGGCTATCGAAGGCTTGAAATAGTGTGGGAAATAAGGCTTCGAGCGGTGTTGATAGGGTCTCAGGGGTCGAGTGAAATACCTGGACCAGGAAGGTAGGAGGCGGATACCACGGGACAAGGGCAGACGGATACGACCTTTTGAAAGGGGATTGCTGAACAATTTCGTGGACTATGATCAACATTCTAGCACAAGGATGTGGGGGTAGGAAAGCCAGTGTGGAGTGGGGAGAATACTTATGAAATCCGCTCAAAATGGCACATCACACCACATTTAAATAGGAAATTGTGCTAGTGAACAGGTAATAAGAGGATATAGGATTGGTGAATAGCTCAGGGCAGGAGTACTACCACAATTGTTTAGCAGACCATTGGTCAAAGGATCCATTTCACTTGTGTCTTTGACGAGTTGTAGTGTAAGGCTAAGAGTGGCAAGGCTCAATGACGATGCCGGCAAAACATCTTGGAATTCACCACGTTCACGGTCCAACTGAAAATTATCATGTATACTATGGACTCCCTATCAGATGCGTTCCTCTAGGTCTTCCTATTATTAATAGCAAGTTGCGAAAACAAGGTCAAACAATTACTATTATTCGTTTGTTTTAATTTCCCTTTATTTCCATATGTTATTCCCTTTCAGTCTTTTCCTCTTACGCCCGCTTCCATCCCTTCTGAGCTCGTTTCTTCTACACCTGACCCAATTGGCATCAAGTCTGTTCAACTGTGCCCTTTCGTCACCTCACCTTCCTTCGTCACTGCACCTACACTTTTATACGCGACTGCGCAAAGCGGGTCCTTTACTACCACGACAAACACTGTAACTGCGGCTTCTTCCGTCATGCTTCTTCCTTCTCATTCTCTGCCTCAGGCTCCACCAGTCCTTGTTCCTCTCGGTCTGACTGCTCAGTCGTCATCAAGTCCGGGCATAAGTAGCATTCCTTATCATTCACCGGGACAATCGCAGCCGCAGCTGCATCAACAGCCTGTGAAAGGTATGCTGATATAGCATTTATATCTACCATATTTTAATAACCTTTGTATATTAATCTATGCGGAAAAATCCACTAAACCTTGAAATTACTAAATGGTAGACGAATCTAATAAGTCTGTATCAAACAGCCTTTTTAATTTTAATTTAATGGTTGGACATTATGTATTTATGTTAAGAAAATTATAAATTATTTTTATTTTGTCATTTTTCATATTTGTGAACTCCTTATTTTTGTGGAGTCCATGTGGTATGCATCCTAATTTTTGATCAAAATGAATCCTACATATATATATATATATATATGTATATAGCTACAAACAATATTGTAGCAACCGGATCTTGATAATGGGTCATATCTAAAAGATGGCATACCATAAGAAAGTGTGTGGGTTTCTTTAAACGCTGTGAGCCAACATATTTTGGCTTCCTATAAACATCGAAAGGTGTAAGGACTTATTCTCTTCCATTTTTATTGTGAACATAGTAAGTTCTGATGTGTCTATGTTCAAGGAGCTATTCAAGCCATCTTCTGTTATGCCATCTTTTAGAGAAAAATATGACCCATTATCGATTTCCGGCTGCTACGAGATTGTTTGTTCATGTGGTCGGTGTTTTGTTGGTGAGACATGCCGACCTATCCTACAAAGATTATGGAAACACAAAAAGGTTTATAAAGGAAGCTGGGTTAAACGGTCAGAAGTGGCCGAACACATGGTAGAAACTTGACATGAGATAGAATAGTCTCAGGCTAGTATGTCTGTGGTTATAACG